TTGCCAAGACTGATTAATCACCTTCCATGTAAAATAGTAGTTCCAGGTGACAGAAAAATATAAAACTAAATAGAAAACAAGTCTCCTTTTCCCTCCTCCAACATTTAGTTAAAATAAAATTCTCTTAAAATCTTGCATTAATTTCAAATTTGCTCGACAGTTTCCCCAAGATCTCCAATCATCAAGCACATCAATCAGAGGTTTGTTTTGCTGTCTGTAGCAACCTCTCMTTTGACAAGATCAAAATGGACAGTGCAGGAGCTTTTTAAAGCAAGTCTGGAGCCTGCCAGTTCATCTGCTTGTAGACTTTGGCAGGAGATCAAAAAAGAACTTTTTTTCCATTAAGGTCAGCTCATACTTGTGAGTATCTTCTTGTTTTGYAATTTATTTCTTTATGTATGTACTCTGCTTACCAGTTGTAATTATTATCGATATGAAACACTTAATAAAAAAGAAAAACTTAAAGATTTCAGAAACATTTTCTATCTGAATGTAAAGATGCTTCTAAGCACTTTAAAATTTCTTTTTCTAGAAGCTGTTGTTTTAAAGTGCTAAAAAACATGAATTACACACAATTCCTTCTCTAAAACAACTTAATACAGCATAATAAAAGACATTTAAAAAGACTGCTGTAATCAYATGCAAATCACTTTATTTTGTAATMAAGAGTCACTATACAGCTTTGAACAGCAGCAGTACAGACAAAGTACAGCAGCATARGGCAGTTTCTCTGCAACTCTGGCTCAATCTATTCCCTYTGAGTTTTAAAAATGTAAAAATGAATGCTGCTACTTCTCAAGATTGGTTTTAATCTCTCTTCTAAGTCCAAAGCAGAAAGGCTATTTGTTGCAGGTTCAGCCAAAGAGGGGGAAAAGAAGAAAAAAGTGATTTGGCTAAATGTTTTCTAGAGCACCARGCCAACACCAAGCTACTGAATTGAAAGGGCAAACTCATTTGTAATACCTTTGAGAAGTTTACTAGATAAGCAAACAACATAAAAGTTAATGCTTGCATTTCCAGTGCTTCTCATAGCTTTAGTTTTGTGCACCATGGTGCAACTTCTGTAGAAAATCAAGCACTGGGCAGTACCACCCTGAAAGTGACTCCATGATCCCTCTACACTGCAGCTATAAAACTACTTCCTAACTGCAGATTCTTTCTGCAAGTTACAACTATAATTAAATACATTTAAATAAAACCCRTAAAATTTACAACGTGGCTTTAAAATATATGACCATGCTATAAAAACATGGACTAGAAATTATAATTGTTAAATCGTACAGAAAGACATGAACAGTCCATATGCAGGAGTGGTCCTCTTAGGAGGTTTTCTTCAAGGAATGTTCAATAAGAGACAAAAATATCAGACAACATTTTATATACATACATACATACCTATCTCAGACTTACTCTATAAATTAAATTTTACTCCCCAACGTGTGTCTCACATTTCAGCTATCRTCTGGCTCCAAAGAGTAAGCTAAAACCTGGGGTACATACAGCACACTTCTTGTAGAAGTGGGAACTATTCCTGCACCTTCTGTTTGCCCTATAGAATCCAAATTGCTCTAAGGAGATTTTATAAATTTTTCCTTCAGTGAGTCAGAACACTTTAGTACAGATTAACTTGAAAAAGCAATACTGGTTAAAACCTTAGAGAAAAATAAAATAGTTACAAAAAAYTGTTCTTGTCTTTTTAACTCCCACTTTGAGCAATTCAAGATGGATGCAGAAAGAATTGGGGCATCTCAAGATAGAATATAATTCTGAAGACATTCTACCATTAGAGAACTCTAATTCAAATCTGAATTATGACAAAGGTGAGGGAGTTGCTTTACAACTGGAAACCACAGACAAATATATACGTTATTTCTTTGTGCACAAAAGGTTTAAAACTTATGCAAAATATTGGCGTCTATATTGACAATATCCAAACATGAGCATAAAAATGCTGTTATTCCTGCTGTTTTCYATTTATTGAGAGCAGCTGATTCCTCACAAGTACTTGGGAATTGTAAACTAGGTCTGCTCCTCTGTACAATTCCAGGATACAAGACATTGGGCCCTAAGTAACACAAACAACATTTTGACAACAAAGAAGATTCTAACTTGATTAAGATAGAAGACAACATCCATTTTCCAAAAGCAAGCCAAGTAAATGAGTGCATTATTCTGGGATGCCAAATTTTACTGCTATRTATGTATGCAATTAAAAAAATTGTATCAAGTCATTAACACAGTACTTTTTCCATTGCTAAAATTGGAATGCYGTCAAACCAGCTAATACAAATCAACATATTCTGCATTTCAAGGTTAATAAAACAGTTCTATTCTTACAGCAAACATGAYCACACTGAATTGCTGCCAAAACATCCCTGGAACTAGTACACAGAAGCAGAGGCCAAATCCTTCAACACCATCCAGTAGGAGATGAAGGACAAAGGATTATCTACTGAAAAACAAATCTATGTGAACACAGGCTTTGCCTATCACAATTAACATTTGCTTTGTGCCTAACACCTCTTATTTTTAGCCAATCCYGTCCCTACAGAAACCTACTTAGTGCTTGTGTTTCTGTCATGTAAGGAAAAAATACATTTCAAAGAGTATGCCGACACAATCATCAAAACAATTGTAATAATCATAAACAAATCTGCAACAGACCTTTAACCATCAACAGAGTGGTATAAGAAAGAAACTGTGGGAAAATAAACAAAATAACCCACATAAATAACCTTCTGGATTATTTTTTATTTTGGGATAGGGGGTAGGACTTCTGAGGGGAAGCTGATGAACACCTCTTGGAGAATGATGAATTGCAAGGGGATCATGAAGCTGGCCACAACACTCCCTCATCCTATTTTATCTAGAATTACGCCAAACCAGGCTCACTTATTCCCCTTGTCAGCCATTTGTAAYAGCTCATATTCTCCAAAGTGGCAACACTGCCTGTTAAGCACATTAATTTATGCTTTATGTATATGTATACATGCATACTGTTGAATACCACAGCTTGATAGTTAAGATTTATTTAAGCCCCACATGTTTGGAGGTTGTGTATATCACCCTTAGTACCCAATGTAAAAATAGCAAATGCCTAACTGAAGTCTAACTTAATCTGAAACTGAGTGTTACCTATGTTAAAGACACATACTATGTGTTATTAATTTCTAATTATTTTCTGTAAAACACAATCAAAACATTATAATCAGAAAATATACGTATTTTCTCACAAGTTTTCTTTTTTCAGAAGAAATTATGGTATATATGTAGTACTGTTATGATCTCAAAGGAATCAAGAACTACCATGAATTTGTTAGTTAGCCTAYTTGTTACAGTACAAAATACAATAAATGCTCTTGAGGCATTCTGCCAATGYCMCATTCTCTAAGTTCTCTGCTAATAYTTCATCATAAAGGTTGTAACCAGCCTCTTAAAACTCAGGCTTGTTTTCTATAAAGAATACTTGRAGGGAACTTGAATAACATTTAAACTGAAATCACTTATGCTTTCATTTGATGCATGGCTGAATTCACCCAAATAAGTAGTTTCAGTTCCTAGATACATACCCCAGACAGAGCTCAGCTTGTAAGTAACAATTCTGATTTATTAGAATTAATCAAACTGACCTATATGACTATATGATACCAGAGTATCAATCAAACCACATGGAAGGATGTATTTTCTGTAGCCATCTCTGTGAAAATGCTCTATTTGTGTCTTCTTGGAAAACTAACAAACAAATCACGATTATCATTGCTGAAAGACAGCACTCCTACTACACAATATTAATTCCAGAAGCCCACTGTTAGAGGCAAATCAATATCAGGGATTTTCTGACACTCTTCAAACTACGTTTTCAGATACTGATAACAGAAATTTGATAAACTGATACAGCTSTAATAATCACACTGCCACTACAGARTTGAAAAWTTTCRGAYATTKKAAAGCAGTRTTTTTTTCAATTTARCTTCAGTGTCAGAAGTATAATTAAAAAGAAGTCTGCCTGTTTTTACTAAGAATGACATCTTTTGAAACAAAACAGTACCTGAAAACAAACCTAAAATCGACTGTGGCTTTTTAACGTTGCTTTAAGYTATTTATTAGTCTATCAAATACCTGCAACACACCGTCACAGTCAACAGTAACTGTGAAACATAACCAAGAAATAGGCACCTATACAACAGCTGAAGACTGCATTAAAAAATAAAAACATGAGCATGCCACTCCACATACATTTCTCCATTAGCATGGTCTTCAGAATAAACGACATTTACTGACAGATATTCGTACTCCAATTKAATCAGCTGATAAGAATTTAATGAYTAAGAAGTTGMTAAAAGCCAAAATTTCTTGCCTTCCATAYGCAAGCAGGATAACAACTAAGATGTCACCGAGCGCTGTCTCCTGTTGACAGTGACATGACCTTCCACAGAGCCCGCTGACCCCGGGCACCACCAGCGGGAACCGCAGCTCCCCACTAACACCGARTGGACGGAGATCAACACAGCGCTACTTTACAAGCATCACCGCCGCCAAGAGTCCTATCAGCCGCCARCCCAGACAGGCGCCGGCATTCCTTCTCCGCCCGGGACCGCGCGGCCAGCCCCGACAGCGCCTCACGCTCGGGCCCCTGCTCCCACCCCAAGCAGCTGCAGGGAAGGCCCGCCGTCCCTTCCAGCCGGGATGGTGCCGCGGCTCGGGGGCGAGAGAAGGGAGGGTTAGCCCCCGATGGGCTGTGAGGCACACAGCGCGCCGCTCGCCCGTAAAGCGGCGGAGCAGCTCCGGGCTGGCGCCGAGCCCTCGCTTACCCGGCCTAGGCTTCGCTGCCTCCGGCGCCGCTCCTTCCTGCCGCAGCCCCGCATGCAACCCAGCGGCGRCTGAGGAAGAGCCCGATGGCTTCCGCTCCGCTGCCGCCCAGAACTACAGCCCCCGGCGGGCCGCCGCCAGTGACGAGCCCCACAATGCGCCGGGCCGCGTGGGGCGCGGCGGGGCCGGCAGCAGGGCGGAGTTGTGGCGAGCGGCGCGGCGGTGGCGCCGGCCCCTGGCCCTGACTCCGGCGGCGGCGGGGAGGAGCGGGCGCTGCCGCCCTGCAAGGCTTCCCGGCTGCGCCCTTTGCCCCGCTGCGGGGGAAACCGGGCGGCCGGGGAGAGAGAGCGGCGCACGCCGAGCTCGGGARGCGGCTACGGGGAGCGGAGCCCTGTCCCGGCTGCCGCGGGAGGCCGGAGGGAGGCGGGAGCCCAACGAGGAAAGCGAGGTACGAACTTAGCGGAGCGAGTGAGAAACTGCGGGGGAGCCTGCGGGGCGTCCTTCCGCGCGTTCCGGTGCTTTGTCACGGACAGATCATTTCACTCGAGATACACGACCGAGAGCTGCCTCAGTCACTGCAAACGCTGAAGTAGGAGCTGCAGCTCGGCGTCAGCAGACCCAGTAACGGCCATTCCCGGTACGGGCTCCACACACCCCCAGCTCACAGCCGCGGGTTGCTGTGTTTTTTCCTGCCCTGCAGTGTTCGCTGACTGCAGCTTTGGCCAAACTGCGATGAATGTATCATTTTACGTACAACACTTATTATCTGAAGTAAAAAAAAAAAAAAAAAAAAAAAAAAAAAAAAATTAGAAAAGCCTGCGATACAGAAGGAAAAATGTGGGGACAGGAGAAGGGTTTATGTGGGGACATGATCCAAAGCCATATTGAAAGCCATATGGAAGCAATGTCAAACTACGTAAGAAAGAAAAATAAAAATCTTCAAATTGTAATGTTATCTGAATGAAGTTGCATCACGGATGTTTCTGTTAGCTGGCKATACACCTTTGGACTAAGTCTACAATAACTTGACTTTGGTATTTCATAGTTATTAGGACTTTTTTCTTCTGCTTAGCTTTTGTRATTTCATATTGCAAGCAGCAGAATTAATTGTCTTGTGTAGTGGAATTAGGCATCTTCTTTCCAGGTGGGACGAGGATGCTGTAGCCATTACAGTGCTGGACAGTACCTTGAAGCACCTGCATTCCTTTTTTTTCTTCTCTGCTACAGACTTCCGCAGTGGAATCGGTTAAGTCAAACGCTGATCCTCTGAAGGTGCCCASTACCTGCTATGGATCAACTTGTGTGTTGATTTGGTATTCTCTAATAAGGAATTACAGTATTTCTTCACTCCACACAGATTCAGGGTAAAAACTTAACAGATTAGGAATGGCTTGGCTATTTGGCATTGAATGGAGTGATRGGAGCTTGTTAGCTTTTCAAGAGTGTTCCCTTGATTAAGTAGCATACATAATTTAAATACAGGATATACTCAAGCTTCGCTCCTTAATAAACAAAGTTCACCATTTCTGATTGTGTTAGTTAACTTCCATGCAAAAAATGCATATTAACATGGAACTATCTCCTGCAGCTGACTTTTTATCAGCCACCAAGTAGAATTCCTCGTGGTAGCTGGAAAGCTGCCTGTCAGAAAAGGACCTGGGGTTGCTGTTAAGACAGCTGGCTGAACACAAGCCAGAATTGTGCCCAGGTGGCCATGGCCAATGGCATCCTGACTCATATCCACAGTAGTGTGGCCAGTGGGACCAGGGAAGTAATTGTCCATCTGTACTCACTGGTGAGGCCAGTTCACTTCTCAGGTACTATGCTCAGTTTTGAGCTCATGAGAAGAAAGACATTGAGGCATTGGAGAGTGTTCAGAGAAGGGCAAGAGAGCTGGTGAAAGATCATTGTAAGTATTATAATGGAGTGGCTGAAGAAGTATAGCCAGGAGAAGAGGAGGCTTAGGGAGACCTTAACTCTACAATTATGTGAAAGGAGGTTATAGTTAGGTGGGAATTGGCCTCTTCTCCCACATAACAAGTGATAGGATGACAGTTAAGTGGCCTCAAGTTGCTCCAGGGGAGGTTTAGATTGGATCTTAGGAAAGTTTTCTTCACTGTAAGGGTTGTYAAGCATTGGAACAGGCTCTCCTGAGAAGTGATGAAGTCACCATCCCTGATAGTGCTCAAAAAATATGTACATGTAGTGCTTAGGGAGATTGTTTAGTGGTGAGCCTGGCAGTCTTAGGTTAATGGTTGGATTTGGTGATCTTKGAGGTCTTTATCAACYTWAATGATTCTACTGTTGAAGACTTGYTTATAGCTAAAGTAMAATAATTAGTTCATTCTATACTTACAGAAGCTTTGGTACACTTATTAGACATCTCTCTCACTGCTTAAGCTTTCAAAGTGTCGGACACTAAGTAAATCTACTAGAAGACTTTCAGAGAAGCTATGCTGATTTGTGAGGGAGTTTACTTATTCTGTAGCCTAAGTAAAGTTAAAATTATTGGAGTTGCTTTTCTTCTTTTTTAACTGAAATCCCTTACAATAGTATTTCCACTCTCACTTGTGAATTGTAAAGTGCAATTGCTTCTGCCTTGCTTTTTTTTGTGAGCTAGTTCAGCTGCACACAGCCAAGCCAAGAACTGACTAGCACAGCTGTGCTCCTTTAAAACAACAGACAATAATTTCTTTTCCCACAAATTGCCAAGGATTCATGAATCCATGCTTTTTTTTTACTTTTTGCACTTGTGCACTTAACTTGCAATTAAATTGTTTGTTCAGAAGTGGCAAYAAAATTTCTAAACCCATAAATTAAAAAGGAACACTTGAGTTGATGTGTAGTCCTCAGTGTGGAGTTTGAAATCGATATGCTACTTAAATAGAAGCAGACTTTCCCTGAAGTGGAGTTCTGGGGTTTTGTGCATGTTAGCTGACAGGAATTGTCACAGTTGTGATTAAGCAGATTTATGTTTATCACAGGTTTATGTATCATCTTACTTKGCTACTTAATTTTTTTCTAGGATAAATGGGTGTGTACGACTTTTCTCCCGATCTAAAGCGGTTCCATGTCTTGTTTGGTAAGTTTATATGTAAAAATTAATACCTTAATATGAAAAGCCCTGGTGAAATGTCTTGCTTGAGGGGATGTCCACAGTGCTGAGATGTTTGAACTTTGTTGTGTCAACTTTTGGTGAAGGAGACTTCGTCTCTTCTCTCTTGGTCTTCCATGTATGTGCTTTACTCTGTTTCTTAACTCCTTGATTAATTGACTTGTGGCAGAAGACTTTCTGAACTCCTGCTTATAGGAGTACTTTTTWATGTTTTCCCACTGCTGTATTTAGTAAGTTGTAGCAACTCTCCCAACATTCACTTGTTCCTGTTCTCAAGGACTGCTCCTGTATTCTGCGTACACCMGTTGAATCAATCAGACCAGAAGAGCTATCTCAAAGCAGCATCAATGAATGCCTGGTAAGAAGAAAATAGGAACTTTAATTCCCAAGGTTAAATATGAAGCCAGGTTATTAAAAATAACCACATTACGGAGTACAACCTAAAATGTAGACAGCAAAAATAACCGGAGTACTTTGGGGCTTCCACTTTGGAAGACTATAGGTAACTAAATGTTAATCTTGTGCCACTTTTAAAACAAACACACTCACACAAAACCTGTAACTCATAACACTAAGTCACAATAATGGTAAAAGTACCAGGTTGAATGTTCTTTGAGTACTGGACTTTAGCATTAATAATATTTTTGCATTAATTTAAAAAATATAAACTATTAAAAATTACATAGTCATTTTGAGAACCGTTTCTTCTCTCTGTTAGGCTGATTCTGATCTAGCCTGGATTCCTCCATCTGCAGGAAGGAATGAAATGGTATTTTGCTCTTCTAATGTCTCTCATTATGAACTCCAGCTGGAAATAGGTAACATAAATGTAACTTAAAATATCTGKTTTTCCTGCTATTAATAGTTTATTGCTAACTGCAGTTAAATATTAAATTTGGAAAATGTAGGACTATTCTTATGTCTCCTTAGTTGAGAAAAGCGCAGAGTATTGCTCATATTTTGGTAATTGCTTATTTCAAGATATAAGACAAATTGACAATTATCTGAAATTGTCTCTTGATGTTTGTGCATGTATATGTCAGTTTTCAAAATTTGTGGTATGTGACAATAAATACAGCACTAAGTAACAACATTTCTTATAACTTGGCTACCCAGGTTGATTGTTTATGTCMATATGCATSCTARGTGTTGTTCATTTAGATGTATAATTGATGCTGACATATGTTTAAACACTTTTAGTTCTCAAAATAGCAGACCCATGCTTCAACTAATTTGTTGCATATATTTTGCTACAACCACTTAAGGTCTTGACATTCTGAAAGAAAAGGACACACATCAATTCCAATTTTAAAACTGGAAAACGATCTCTATATATGAAAGAAACCATGTGATGGATTATTATATTTTCCAATGGTAAGGCAGCCATTTCTGGTTTCAGGGAGGAGGTTCAACAACTTAACATCAGTCTACCTTGCACGGCACACACCTACGGACATGCAAGTTGCTGTAAGGATCACAGACCTAGAAAACTGCTCTGAAGAGCACTTGAAAGCCTTACAGGTAAAGGAACAGCATTTCTGCACAAAGCCTGATGAAGACAGTGAGGAATACATTTGCGATTACTGAACAGAGGTAGTCTTTGTTTGCACTGGCTCATTTCAGTCAAGTTTTTTTTTCCAAAGGAATAGAAGAATATAATAAACACAATCCATGTGTAAATTTGAGAGTTGTATTCTGAAGACAGCAGCTGACAATTGCTTTAGAAATACTTCTGTAATTGTGCAACTKACTTGAAACAAGTTCTGTACTCTTATTTAACACCAGAAGTTTGGACTATGAACAAACTAGATTTATTTCAGACAAATGCAATTATGGGCAAGATATTTACATTTCTGTTGCAGGCTAGGGAATATCACCTGCAATTTTGTATAAATGCAAGGAAACAGTTTTCTTTACTGATTACTGATGTAGTTAATGCTCTTAGTAGGACTGCTGTCTCATGATTAACACATCCACTTTCATTTAATTCCATAGAATGAGGTGGTTTTATCACACTTTTTCCAGCATCCCAACATAATGACATTTTGGACAGTGTTTACAGCTGGAAGCTGGCTTTGGGTCATCTCCCCATTCATGGCCTATGGTAAGAACTGTTTAGCGCAATTTTGGAATAGGAAAAAGGGCTGATACAAGTTGGATTACATGTTYCATGAGAAGTTTTCCTTTAATCATSCCCYGTCTTGTAGGAAAAACAAACTTTCTCAAACCATTTGTTTAGAGAAGACAAAATTGATATTTGCATTGCATTAAATTCCACTTAGTCCTAGCACCCACCCTGTGAAGAATGGTAATTGGGAGATGTGKTTGATTTTATACAACTTCTGCTAATAGAAAACCTATCCACACGGAATACAGGTTGGGTATAGACTTCCAGTTATCAGAAGCATGATATGGGTGTGGTCTTTGCCTGATGGATGCATCAGTTGCAATAACTTCCTGTGGTGCACCAGAGTCAATACAAAGATGAGAGCACTGTGTACACTCATCAGGAGCAGCCAAGCATAGACAAGTAATTTAACAAGACTTGTTAGGCCTAGCTAGGTTTTTTTCACTTCCAGGTTCAGCTAGGCACCTGCTGAAGACTTACTTTCCTGAAGGAATGAGTGAAGCTTTGATAGGGAACATTCTGTTTGGCGCAATCAGAGGATTAAATTACATGCACCAGAATGGATATATTCACAGGTAGGAGAATGTCAATAGGTAAGAACCAGGTTATAGCATCTCACCTTAAGTATTGTCTCTTTCGTTTTCCTGTATACCTTCTGTCAGACAGTGTACGAGTAACAATTTTTTCAATAGTACAGCAGAACCAAGTTTGTAAAATTTTAACAGGAAATATATTTATACATTTCTTCAAGCCAGCTGTTACAGGAATTACACATCTGCCTGGATTTGTCTCTTTGAAGCAGAAGAAATCCAGAGTTATAAAAAAGGCTTCCTCAGTTTATGCCCCTTGCAGGGAAGCAGGGCCCTTCTCTGATTTCTGACGCTTTTATCCTGACCATCTCTCTTAACAGAGAGATGAACTCCACACTAACAACTTACTATAAGTCAATGAAATAGGAAGGCCTTCTGGTTCTCGTAGTGCTTTAAGTAATTCTTATAACTAAAATTTACCACTTTATGTTACAGGAATATTAAAGCTAGCCACATTCTGATTTCAGAGGATGGGCTGGTTTCTCTCTCTGGCCTAAGCAACCTCTACAGTTTAGTTAACAATGGACAGAAGTCAAAGGTGGTATATGATTTCCCCCAGTTTAGTACATCCGTGCTTCCTTGGCTGAGTCCTGAACTACTGAGACAGGTTAGTATAAATTACCCATAATTTTTCCTATTCAAAGGAAGAATTGGAATTGTGGCAGTATTAGTGCAGAACAAGTGGCAGCGCTCGATTTCCAGCTAAAGTCTCCTTGTAGAAGTTGAATGGAAGATGTTGAACTGACACTTTTGAAAGTACATGTATGTACTGGATTTTTAATTCTTCTAGAGGGAACCGGTTCTAGAGCTGTTGGTAAGGTGATGCTGTACTATGCCTGTTTACAAACCCTCCTGGAAACTACTACAGATCCTGAAACTTGTGTTCTGTACAACCATGAGATTTCTGAAAAGAGCCTGAGGTTTCACAATTTAATTGCTTCAGTACTGTGTAGATTATGGGGTACTAGAATCTTGTTTTGAAGCAGGCACTTGTATTCTTGTYGGCACACTCAATGGCAGCAGTGATCAGTAGTGTTTTCTTTCTCTCACAGGATCTGTCTGGCTATAACATGAAGTCTGACATTTACAGTGTGGGAATTACAGCATGTGAATTAGCCAATGGACATGTTCCATTTCAAGATATGCCTCGCACTCAGGTACACTGCTAAACTTTAGTTAAAAACATGCTGAGAATTTTTTTTTGTTTTACTCAGAGAAACCAGTGCGATTGCTACTGAAATAGTGGCTGCTTTTTGTTACTTCAAATATGCATGCTGCTTCCTAGAACAAATAATTCTTCCCTCCCTATTCCTTCCTACTAGATGCTGTTGCAAAAGCTGAAAGGTCCCACATACTGTCCTTGGGATATAAATACCTTTCCCCGGGGGGAATCCAGGATGAAGAATTCCCGGTCAGGTGTTGATTCTGGAATTGGTGAGAGCATGACACGAACAATGACCAGTGAAAGACTACCAATGCCCTTTTCCAAAACATTTTCRCCTGCTTTCCTCAACTTGGTAGAACTTTGCTTGCAACAGGACCCTGAGAAAAGGTAATGTTTTGGCGAAAACTGATGTTTTTGTCACTTTGATCTGAGACAAAGTATAGCCCACAGGTTAGGATACAGTAGTTAGTTGAATTCTGTTATAGTCAGAATTTCAGACCAGATGTACTATGTAAAACAATGCACTTACATTTGGTTTTGTAATTTATGAATTATCTTGTCTGATAAAGGAATCAAACTTTTAAAGTCATTTGACCCGACTTCCTTGTAATATGAATGTGCTTTGTAACAAGTAAGATTAACTATCAAACATGTACTTTAKCCAAGAAAAAAAACCTAGAAATCTGAAATACATGTTTTCAGTTCAATGTGTCTTTTGAATGAGGCCTTAAATTTCTTGTTAAACAGAAATGTGAAAAAGCTTTTAAAAACAGATTTCTTCAGTAGTTCTTTCACTATAAATTGAGGCATAGAATGTAGGAATTGCGTGCTGCTTTACTTATTCTTTACATTTGTCCTGTTGATGAAAAACCACAGGGCTTAAATTGATTTGTCAGTCTGGCCCATTATCCAAATGCAGTATTTTCCTTTCCAAACATAATTATATTGTTCATTTTATTATTCAGGCCATCAGCAAGCAGTTTGCTTTCGCATACGTTCTTCAAACAGGTGAGTTTACTACATTTTGTTAAATGACACAGCTATAACCTAAATAAACCACAAAAAGAGCTAGATTAAAAAATAATGAAGTTACCTTGAGCCAAAAAGCATTCTGTAACAGCATGCCTGCTGCAGACTAATTTTTTTAACAAAATTATATTGATAGAGTATAGGAAGTATAAGATGAACCCATTTCCCCATTGATGAAGTTGGTTTAACTTAACTAAAGGCTGCCTGACTAATAAGAAAAATAGTTAATATTGTTAATTTAAAGCAGACCTGCACAGATGATTTAATTAGTATTGAAAGACTAAGAGAGTGGGGAAAGCAAAACCTCTCATCCTGTTACTTTCAATATTGTAACATGCAAGAACATGGCTCTGATTTCACATGCTTATAATGAAGTCAGTTGCAAAGTTATGGAGACTTTTATGTGCAGCCCTATTTTAACTTTTTTTCCTTTCCAGATAAAAGAACAAACACAGAATTCACTACTGTCTCTATTACCACCTCCTATTCAAAATAACAGATCAGAGTTTTTGGCACTGCCCTCAGCAGCAGTTGAGACTGAACTTGGACGTATTGCTACAAATCAAGATGATACAGACTGGGAATTCTGAATAAATACCAAACAGTGATACCTCTCAAATGTTTCATAGAAGGAAAATGTGATTTATATTTGCTGCTTTTATATGGTTAAAATACAGTTAGACCAAGTATACTTGAAATGCCATGAAATGGCTCTATTTCATTAACTTCCTCTTGGCATCACAAAATGCAGCATGCCTCACTCTCAGACTGCAAGGAAAACTGTGTATAAAGAATGCCTGAGTGCTTGCTTCTCTCTTTCAAAGTCTTTCTGAACAAGAGAGTCCCTGCTGTAATCTTATTCTGTACTGTATTATCAGCTCATATTACTGCAGTCCACATACCTTTCTGAATTCAGGCCAGGGATTTGTCTGTGATCTTGCTTAAACATCTATTTGTCTTTTCATTATGACCCAAATCATTTTAGTAAGGAGAAATCCTCCATTTCCAAGTTGAAATGTGAAATTACATAAATTAGTTGCTTATGTAAATAAATGTTTCTCTCTCAAAAGACATTTTGCTCACTTCACATGCTGTCATATTTGCCAAAAGTTAGTTATGCATAATTTTTCATGTGGTTTTAATACTGCATGTTTCCCAAAGAGGTTAAGCTGCTTGGAAGGCTCATGTTCTTGCATYTGTCTACATTCTTAGTACAAATCTGGGCTTTTGCACCTCTGTTTATTGTTATGTCATTTTAGCAGTTAATCTGAGGACTTCTTACTATGCAGAATAAGTCTCAAGTTTTAGCAGGTACAGGTTAATTTTGAGGAGTCACATTAAATAATCTAAAGTTACTGTACATATTTTTATTTATACTGTATTCTTGTTCACCACCTGAATTTACCAGAACCTAAAACTGTTTTCTCAGAAGAAAAGGCAACATGCTTTAAGCTTCAGTGGCATTGTTGCTTGCAAACAAGCCTCTTCTGCAAGACAGATTTAAATTCCCAGGGATAGACTCAGCAGAAACCAACAACCCCCTAGGATCCAAGTGAATTTTTATCAGCATTTCATCTGAGTTTTCATCTGTTCTAAGTCAGATGAAAAGCTTTCTTCTCCCTACAGTTCAGTAAGTTCTTTYTTCTCATACTGTACCAGGGAACTCAAACTGAACAAAAGCAGCTTTCTTTTTTAAAACTGGGATATTCTCATCGTGTTGTAGCAAAAGCTGTGTCTCAAAGCCACTAATACTTTACTGATGGAAGAATGACTGTGGTAAAAAAGTATATATAGATATTTAATGGATATATTTTAAATTCTCAGCATAAACAGCATTCCATGTAAGTCTTTAAGTCTTCCATAGCTGAGCAGCCTATAGCCAACCTTGASAGTACCACTGTATTGACAGCAGCTTTGCCACAAGATCTTGAAGACCAAATGACTGAAATACAAGCCTGAGAGACATAAAATTCTAAATGACCACATAAAAATGATTCTACTCACTATGCTGTGAAGAGATCTCTGTACTTCTAACATGTAAAACTTAAGATGAAAAMCTTGTCAATAAACTTACCCTATCTGCCTCCATTTATATCTGTAATTCTTGGACTTCTGTTTTCACCGTAGTCCAGCCATACAAACAGCTTCTTGTTACTGCAGGAAAAAAATCATATTTTTGTCAATTATTAGGTAAGAAAATAGTTAACTAAACTAGAAAACKATTCTGATTTTAAAAATATTAGTAACTTTATTGTGTACTCTGGGAGAAGATACTATTTTCATGTGGACCCCATGTGTTTAATTCTTAACCATTACAAATTTGGAGTGTTTGCAAATCAAATATATTAGATAGCATCTACAAGTAAATTTTGACTAACAGTACATGTAAAAACCAAGTCAAGTGAAAACACATATGAAGTTCTACATATTTTAGTTACAGACCTGTGAATAAATATTAGTACTACGAAAAACTATAGAAAACTTCAGGCAGCTGAACTGCTGGTGTTTTYAAACTTCTCTTGCAACAAGTGCTGTAGGCTCTAAAGACAAACTTGTATACTACTGATAATGTCAGTACAAAGTCATTCAAACCACCTTGTGTTCCAGTGGAGTTACTTTGCTGCTCTCTCTTTCTGGGAAAAAAAAAAACAAACAAAAAAACCTGACTTCTAAACACTGTTCCAATTGCTGTAGTAATGTAACTTCTTAAGAAGAAAATCAAATACAATTTTTTAAAGTTGAAAAGTTTACAAGTTTTTACTCTTAGAACTACTGCTTGTCAACAACTAAGTCTTTTCAAACAAAAGCAATTAAGAGGCACTGTGACTTCTTAAAATAACCAGAAATAYTGGACTATAGTCCCTGGATTATATGTGCTGAAAGGTTTGGTATCATTTTGCTCATGAACTGTGATGCTGTCTATTAAGGAATAATTCCAAAATAAATACTAGTTAGGAAAGAGAATTTATAATCACATTATTAAGGTTTCAACTRCCTGTCACTGAAAAGGTGGTCTTGGAAACAAGTGTTCTGAAAATGTGAAAGTTTTGCTTACAGTTAGTTTTCAAAGTCTGAGATTCACGATCTGCMTTGTTAAGATGCAAGTTGCACAGACTTTCTATTCCAAGCTGACAGTTTTAAGCACAGTAGGTTGKTTTTTTTTTAAGAGCCATTGTTTACTCTTGCTCATACCACTGAGGTATGTTATCAGAATGTGAACTAGATCTAAACTTGGACTTGAACTTTCCAAGTATCTTACATTTCRGCTCCATATGATATATTTTCAAAGGAGCTTATAAAACTTACACATTTGCAAAATCTCATGGCCAATGAAACAAATCTATAGCCTGGTTAYTRTTGAAATAMTTRTGAAAACAACACAAATGGRTTTTTTGCTRCAACCTTTCTTTATGCTAGCATTTAGCACTATGTAAAATAAATAACTGTATAATACAAAACTTACGTTAATGGAAATGATTCTGAATATCTTCTCAATGCTGTTGAATGTCTCACTGTCTTGGTCTGATACCACAGCTGATATTCATAGTTTGTGAATGACTGAATGGATGAACACGGGAAAAAGTGTGATCTACTCAGAATCAACTTGATCTGATGCATGAATTATTCCCTTTAAAGAGTCTCAATGCAGTAAGTATCCTTTGAAGTGGGGAGTTTCTTCCACTTGCTGAATAGAGTYTTTTTTTAAATTACAGAGTTTTACCTTGCCTCTTGCTTTTCCCTACCCCTCTCCTTCTCTTCAAGTGCTATCAAAGTAGTTTTTAACCTAGAGGATGGGTAAAATTATGGGARAGCATTTGAAAACCATTGTTCTGAACCTCTTTTGACAAGAGGCAGGTACCTAAGTAGGTGACTTACATACCCAGCCTTAAATGGTATTAAGTGGCTTTACTAAAGTATATTAGCTTCTCTAATAAACCTCTGAAACAAGTAAGCTAGCAGCAATGACCTTCCTGATGACGGCCATCCCAGTCCTGAATCAATGAGGAAAAACTATTAAAATTCAGAAATATTACACATTATATCCAGCAAGAAAGACCACAAAGGACTAAGAGTAAGAACCATACTGTGAAATAAAACAATCTGATGTAGCACACAAGCAAAGACTCGAGGTTATAACAAAATAAAGCATTGGAAATGGAGGTAGTCTACTAATAACCTGGTAGCAGAATAACAATTGGTATTTAACATAATTAAATCTATGCAGAAACTTGAGATAGGATGAAGGAAAGAATATTAGATTTAAACAGGTGCCTGTGGAAACTCCCAGATGAAAACAACTAGTTCTACTCTAGTTACATATATGTTTGTTTCTTATCCAAAAACTTCAAAAGTTCAGAAAAAATTCCCCAAAAGCCCATATGAAGTTAGCTGCCATCAAGTGGTGTTTTATTTTTAGATATGATTATAGAATACACCATTATTACTGGATTTATCTACATACCGAGATCCATGGAATTCATTTGTCCGCTCATGAAATCCATCTGCAATGGAGGAGAATGGATTGCTGGCAGGATGCAGAGGTTTTCCTCTGTTTTGTCAAAATTTACATGACATATGGGTCAAGAGTATCAATGCTGAGTTTATCTACCACATTTTATTTTCAAAGTTCGTCTATGCCACATTGTGGTATCAGTTATCTAATTCTCATGCTTCATGCAGTAAAAAGAAAAATACAGGCAGATTTCCTTTTGCCCATGTGAAATTGGAAAGCCAGTTATAGATAAGTTTAATTGTTTTCCTGGTTTGAGGTAGCTGTTGTTCTACAGTAGCTGATGGAGCTATCACAGACTTCTGGAATCATGTATTTGGCTGACTGTCACGCTCTTTTTTCTGCTCCACTTTCTGCTTCAAGTTTTCCTTATCATGGGAGAACACATAATTTTGAATCCTTGGATCCTGCAGCATATGATATTTAAAAAGGTGGTTCAGCATACTTTCCATGATTTTTCTTTACAACATTRCTAGATTTCCTCAAACTATTTTTGAGGTCAAAGTGGTTTGTTTTTCCTTCTTAAATAGCATATTTATTAATATTTGACCCAGATGTTGGTGGCATGGCGATGCACATTTCTCTACATTACTTGTCTTTTGACTTCCAGTCAGAATTTTTGGGCAACTTTTCTTTTTCCTTATGCTGGACTTCTAAAACGACATTGAAATGACATTTTGGGTAATTTGCCATAAAGGTGAGCCATGGCCTGCAAAGGTGCTCTGCTTGATTATCAGCATCACAAGCATTTAAAATGGGAGAATTTTAGTGTTTCAGATTTTGTTCTTTCTCTTCTACCATGAGACCTTTTAACAATTTCAAATTTACTACTACTTCATTTTTTTTCCCTTGGTTTGTTTTGGCTTTTTTTTTGTTTGTTTGTTTTTTGTTGTTGTTGTTGTTGTCGCTGTTGTGAGTTTTGGTTTGAATGTTGTTTGCTGGGGTGAGGAGGGGCAGAGGGGTGTCTCCCCAAGTACATTAATACATTAATCTATTTTTATTGTGGAGGTTAACTACTACATCTGGCACTGGGTGTGGATAGGAAGATCTTGCTTTTTGTCTCTTTATCACTGTTAGAGTCCTGCCTCTATCCACCTGAAAAACCGTGCTCTCTTCCTTTTTACTGTACAGGGAAATGGTACGGGGAATTCTCAGCTAGGGAGAGCTCTACAACTTTCACCGTTTGAAGAAAAAGTTACATAAAAAATAAAAGAATTGTTAAAGCTAACAGCGCGGTTCACGTGTAGGAGGACATTTTTTGATTTTGACCGTATTTTTGGTTTCCCGTTGGGATCGAAGGGCCGCAATCACCGCTTCCCTCAGGCCGAGCCCGCCAGCGCCCCGTGACGGCCGCAGGGCGGGAAAACGCCTGAGGGCTGAGGGGAGCGGGGCTGAGGGGGG